TGATCTTGAGGATTGTTACTGATCTCAGATCGTTAGTGGTTTATGAAACAGAGATGATCACTGGAGAACATGTTCTCCGCTGATCATCTCAGCACACAGAGAATCTGTCACTGACAGAAATGGCCAGTTTATGAAGTGATGTCAACCCTTCACTGGCGATCTGTGTGAAAATTCTCCCCCCCCAGATTCCCCAGCCCAAAGGTGGAGAATCGGGGAGAGAAGAGTGAATCCCGGGAGAACTGAGGAGGAAGATTATAGACTTCCTTCTTCCTCAATCAGAGCCCCCAAGACAGTGGAAAAGCCCCCCTGCCTTTCACAACCCCCGATAGGGTAGAGCACATTAGAAACACAGAGAAATAGAGAGATAGATAGAGTTAGAGATAGAGTTGGAGATAGAGATAGAGACTGTATGCAGTGTAGTGAGCTACTGAGCAGTCTCCTCTGAGCCTGGGTTCACATGTGCAGTGCAGTATATCGCATGTGATTAGCACAGGAACTGCACCGCATTCCTGTGCAAATCACATGCGATTTGTGTGCGGTGCAATTGGAGCCATACATTTTGTATGGCTCTCTTCAACCGCACCCGCACCAAAAACATGCAGGACCCTTTTTTGGGTCAACACTAGAATCGGATCACATAGGTATTCACACCTATGTGATCCGATCCTGCATATCGCACCGCGTTTTGTGGACCACTTTTGGGGTGTTGTTAACGTAACATACAAACCCGCAGAGGTTCGCATGAAAACAGCATCCCCACGAGCAACAGGAGCCTCAGTGATCCACTTGACCCAGGCTTCCACATTCTCCGGATTTCCAGCGGCAGAGTCACCTCTGGTATTCCATCTCAGGCATAACGTCTCCTTCCAGGACTCCAATCCTCCAATCCATACATTTTTTATGGCTCTATTCACACCGCGCCCACACCAAAAACGTGCAGGATCATTTTTTGGGTCCGCACTAGAATCGGATCACATAGATATTCACATCTGTGATCCGATCCTGCACATCGCACCGTGTTTTGCGGACCGCTTTTTGGGGTGTTGTTAACTTAACATACACACCCGTAGAGGTTCGGATGAACAAGGTATGATTTTAATGCGGTGCGGAATTTGCACTGAAAACGCTGCAAATTCCACACCGCATCAGTGTGAACCAGGGCTTAGAGAGCCACCAACAAAGCAGTGGTAATTTACTGCTTTTTAGTAAACTGTGTTTGACTGATCTCTTTCTGTAATCTTGTGAGATTACAGTAACAGGAGCCGTTCTCTAGCGTTCAAAGCTATTATAGATCGCTTCACTCCTCATTAGGAGAAGTGATCCACACCACTTCATAAGCAGGCATTCAGAGGAGAGCTGTCTCCTCTGAGAATGCCAGAGAACTGAGTAGCGGTCAATTACCGCTGCATGATAAACGGACACCTACATTTAGATAGTCATTCCAGTTTAGCGCAAAACTGATACATGTATTCTTGATATCATACTGTTTATTATTCCGCCTGTTTTTCTTGCTGCATTGTGCTGTGGTAACTTACAACAATATGGATGTCAAGCTGTTATTATGGGTAAAAAGCTATATTTGTTGGATGATGAACTGTAACTAATGTTTATTTTTGCCAAATCATGCTTTTCTAGTAAGATAATTTGTTATTTTGCTGTGTTTTATCTGGTGTGTTACACACAACACACTGTACTAAAAATGTTGTTGTGGTTTACTCCATGCAACAAGCATTCTCTGATTCGCTGTGTTTGCAATAACTGTATGTATTATTTACCATTAAAAATGTGTTCCTGTTCCCTCTGTGTACTGTGTAGACCTTCTCCCCCCAAATCCATAGCAGACCCTTATCCGAGCATGCAGCCAGGCAGGTCAGGAAAGGGGGGACAAGTGAGCCCCCCCCCCCTCCTGTCCATACCAGGCTACATGCCCTCCTGTCCATACCAGGCCAAATGCCCTCAACATGGGGGGACACTTTAGGGGGATACTCCCCAAAGCACCTTGTCCCAAAGTTGATGGGGGCAAGGGCCTCTTCCCCACAACCCTGGCCTGTGGTTGTGGGGGTCTATGGGCAGGGGGCTTATCGGAATCTTGAAGCCCCCTTTAGCAAGGGGGCCCCCAGATCCCGCCCCCCCAAGTGAATAAGTGTGGCGTACATAGTACCACTACCCATTCACAAACAAAAAAGTGTAGTGTGAAAAAAGACAGGAGGCAGTCGTTGACAAGTCCTTTATTAAAAGAAGAAACATAAAAGAATGTCATCAAATTAGATTGAACGTAAATCACGATGCCCGCCGTCGCCTCTACCTGAAAAAAGAAAAAAAAAGTCTCCCGGCCGTCTGACTGCTCCGCTAGCTTAACAGTTCTTAAATATGTAGGGGGTGGGGCCACCACATGTGTGACCCCACCCCTTGTGGCGTCTTCAACCAGGACATGCTGAGTCAATGATGTCACAAGGAGGTGGGGCTACACACGTGGTCACTGGGTGGCCCGGCCTCTTACATATTTAAGAACTGTCAAGCCAGCGGAGCCGTCAGACTGCCTCTTCCACATTTGACTACACCCACCAATTTGTTTTGAAAGAGCCAAAAATTCTCAGTCTCCCCTAACTTGATACCAAGACAGATTCAGGTACTGTACATATTGCATTTAAAAATAAAGCTAAATATTTTATGAATAGATAGCTGATATGATGTAAAGTATCCACATCTCTACAGATAATGGCACGTGGTACTATAACACATGGGCATACTGGATAGAATTCCGAAACTCAGCAGAATATAAAGCGATTAGTTCACATCCCTCCTAGAGTGCAATTGTACTCTAGGGACAGATAAGACTGGTATGTGTTGGGCGACATCTGGAACCCACTCCTCTAGGACACCAAAACATCCTGTGTTCTAAGACCCCCCCATCTACCTCCATCAACCCCTGGGTATCATGGGAAATCAATCTTGCATCTCTAAATATTAATATCTATCGAAATGCTGGCCCCTCCCTATGTAGAGGCGGGAGGGAAGAGAGGCTACACAGGAGAGGGAGGGGGACGTTGCCAGGAGACCCCCCACTTCCCTATCCCTGCCCCCCTCATGTCCATCCCTGTCCCCCTTTTTTCTCCCTTCTAAAGCGGAGTTCCACCCATTTTTTTACCTTCCCTGTGACACAATGCCCACCCTCTGAACAGTCCGTTTTGGCAATATATCTGAAAATTATTTCGTAAATACCTTATTTTTATTAATGCAGTCTCCACTTCCAGTCCCAGCTGCCTAGTTGATTTCATCATTAGACAATTCCCTAGGGTTTCTGGGATATCGGTGTCATCTTTCCCAGGAGTCCTAGAGACGCCTAATAGCGAAATCTTGCGTTATTAGGAAACAGGAAGTGACGCAATGATTGACAGGTTGCCATAACAATGAGGTGGGACTTCCGCCGACGCCACCATTGCTGTGGCAGCCTGCAAACCAACAAGTGTTCTACGCTGTCTTCAGACTGTGCGGGCATGAGCTGGGTAGCCAGCTGCACCCTATCCCAGAAGAAAGGGTGGCTGTCCCCACTGCCCCCAGTGAAGATGGACGAGTACATGATCGTGAGCGAGTAGTAAGTAAATTTAAAAAAAACATGCAAAAGACCAATAACATATGCAACTTATGCCATGGCATAAGCTGCGACTGTCAGGGGGGTGATTAAAAAAAGAACAGGAAGAAAAGGCTTAATGACTTATCAGCTCCCTCTGGACCACCAGTCTCACAATAGGGAATGCAAAGAATTATGTAAATCTATATACACTGTGTATATATATACCGCGGCATAAATGGGTACAGACCCCCTAATTTAAATAACTTAGATGCAGAGAGGTCCCTTTAACTAGAAATAGCAACTTCAGTCCTGAGATGTTTATCATTCTACATGTAATAGTAGCCAGTGTCATCTGCTAGCAATGGTGGGGCCCATATACAGTAGTGAGTAATGGTAATTCAATGAAGATAACAGGCTGTGATAAATGCTCAAAGCAAAGATCTCTTGGTACTGAAGTGTTACACATGCAGTGTCTCTAGCGTGATGTTAGAAAGAGGTTGGGCATCTGCCCACTCACCAATCTCATGGATGGCACAGCCTCCTAGGAACAGGGTTCTTGCACAGGCTCTTGACTGTTCACAGAGAAGTGCAGAGTTACTGCCTAACAGCCTGTCAGTGCAGCAAGCAGAGATGACTGGCTGATAGTGACAGTCCCGATGCAGAAAAGCTGATGCGATCCTGGTGTGTGGTGATCGGCATTACCGCTGTGCTGAACTGGTATGCAGAGCCCTGCAGTAGTAGTCAGCAATCTGTTTCTGAAGGAGAACGGCAGTCCCCGTGTTCAGCTTTGAATCCTGCACCATGAGAGCCAGCCAGTTCCTTGCTTTAGAATATATCTGCTCTCACACCCACCTTCTCATTCCCCAACTCTCTGGCAGTTGTAGTTCAATCAGCACTCATAAATACAGAATGTATTGACTATAGGACTACAGGTCCCAGGATCCTCTGCTGTCAGAAGAATTGGATCCACTCTGCTAACAGGAAGTGATGTAGTAGTCCCAGTAGTGGGCACTAGGCGGAAAAGGAGTAATCATAGACTCTTCTGTAAGTGTCCCTGTATGGCATAATGATATAGCTTGCACCTGGCTACTTAATTAATAACAAATGTATAATTGTCCATTGTACTCGGTTATTCCTTTCTACTACATCCCATTGTGTAAAGGATGGTGGACTGTTTACCCATTTTTTGTATCTAAAAACTTAATGAAACAAAATATTGTATGAGTATACTATATAGGTGCCTGTGGCTTTCCTTTTGACATTCAGCTTTAAAGTGTTACTAAACCCAAAACAGTAAAATCGGTCTGTATATGCAGTAAAGCATGCTTGTTATTACTCACTGTGGAACCTAAGGGGTTAGGTCTGCATTGTGTAAAATGCTATTTGATCCTGACTTCTCTGATCCTCCTCTTCTTCCAGTGCCCCCCTTTTATCGCCTGATAAGACATATTGTGTGGAGTCACTCTGCACATGCTCATTTTGGTGTGTATTACTAGAGAGTTTTTTTCTTCTTGGGAGAGTGCATGTGATCAGCACAGGGCCAATCAGCACGGTTGAGACAGAGGTCAGGGGTTATTCAACCTGATAGGACAATCAGGGGAGGATGAAAACTCATCCTTCAAGCTTTAACCAGTGCTTTACTGGACACTGATAGAAGTCACAAGACTGCTATATACTGCTGATGAGAAAAGGTATTTAGCAGTTTATATTTACAAAAATAATTGCATTTCCATGTTCTGTGTACTGTGGGAGACCAGATAGAGTGAATGCAGGGTCCTGGGTTTAGTAACACTTTAAATGTTGGCACAAATACAATCTTTTTGCTAAACAAAATAGATACAAACCACATCATGGTAAGACCTGATTGAGGGTTGTGAATGTAATGTTGGCCATTATGTTACTCATGTGGGCATGACTTTGTTGCCAGTGGTGGAACTTTCACCATTGCAACCTAGGTAGCCTCTGTGAGGCAAATAGGGAAGGGTGAACAATCTTCCAGTCAAGAGTCTCTCTTGTATTCGTGGACAAGTGCACTTTCAGTAATGTATATCTATTAATTCCTGAAACATGTACAAATTCTGCTTATATTTCATGCATAGATAGATTAGAACACTTTGGCTAGTAAATTGCTTACTGCATGTAGCCAATCGAGCAAATTCACAGTGAAATATGCTTGCCAGTCCCAACCATTACATCCCTTCTCTTTTCTTTATACAATGAAGTGCTTCGGTGCCTCAATCTCATATGGTAAGATTCCAAGCCAATTTAAAGTTGTAAAATAATTTGACAGCAAATGTCAAACATTTGGGAGTGAATAGGGAATATGTATAATGCTTGGTGAAAACAGATTTTTTTTACTTTTTAATACAGTGCTCTGGATGAAATAAAGTCAGAATGAACATGTTACATCCTAGAATAGCTAATTGCCATCTTCAACATGATATATTAGTCCTCATAAAGAACAGTCTCTTCCTATGGCTCCCCCTCCCCTGCCCAGTGATTGAGTCATAATGTATTATTGTTGTGTTTGTTGTGTAGTGATCAATTGCAGAACATCACTAATTCTGCCTGCCAATTTAAAGTGGACTTCCACCTGAAAAAAAATAAAAGGCAGCAGCTACAAAAACTGTAGCTGCTGACTTTTACAGTACAGCCACTTAACTGTTCCTCGGTCCAGCGGTGTCCTCACCACCGCTGGTTTCACCGGCCGTCTTCTCTCCCTGGTTCGGCATCTTCAGTGTGGGCACCCGGCTGTGACAGCTTGCAGCTTTGTGAATGGCCCCGTGGTCTTCTGGGACCTGTCACGTGTCCCAGAAGACTACAGGGAGGAAGGGGAGGAGGACAATTTTGCTTCCAATCACCTTAGGCAATCGCAGCAGAAGTGGGATTGGATACCTGTCAAATTTGGGTACCCGCTCCCCAAAGGTGCCAATCGTTAAAGGGGAGCGGGGGACAAATGCTTAAAGCGGAACTTCCTCTTTTGGGTTGAGCTCCGCTTTAAGCATTTTGTTTACACTATGTAATTATATAGAGAATATCATAAACCTTTTCTACAATCCTTCCCCAAATCTCAAATCCTACCCCACATTCCCAATATATCAAAAATGTCCACAATGCAAAGTCCAAAATTGTCCACACTATCCAATCTTCCAGCTGTGAAAAATATCCGATTCATCACTCCAATCCAAGATACCTCAAAAAAATGTAAACTGAATTTATTATCTGCTTACATATATGAGGAAAAAAACATCCATCCTATGCAGAAACCACATCCAAGATGGCCGCGCTGCTCCTTCCGATTTTGCGTCTGACGTCACGAAGCTGACGCGTTTCATCACCTCCGACTTTTTCTCAAGGGATCCCTTGAGAAAAAGTGTTTGAATTTCATGTATATACTCCATGGAGTCTTCTCTTCTCTGCCCTGTGAGGAACGGGGGATCCCACTGCATACTCCCATAAGAGGAAAGCCATCTGGCATGTGGAAATGTGTGAAACGCCTGTGCAAGCTGAAAGAGGGTAATAGCATGTTATCCTAATGCAGAGTGGTGGCACCTATTTGGTCTAGTACACTTTATCACTGGCTACATATTTTGGATTTGTTGTATTTCACTTGTTGGAGTGATTATCTCACCATATCACTAGTTGAGTTGTGTGGATTCATTTAACTTCACGTGTTGATTTTATAATATTGCCTATATTATGTTTTATATCACTAGTGTTTTTGCATGATATCACATAATACTATATCATTTGAAAGATAAAGCACTATATTCAGTTTAATTTTTTTGAGGTATCTTGGATTGGAGTGACTAATCGGATATTTATCACAGCTGGAAGATTGGATAGTGTGGACAATTTTGGACTTTGCATTGTGGACATTTTTGATATATTGGGAATGTGGGGTAGGATTTGAGTTTTGGGGAAGGATTGTAGAAAAGGTTTATGATATTTGCACTTTCAAGGGTGAAATATTTACTTTTCTTTGGGGATTCACAGAGATTTGTGATTTGATTATATAGAGAATAGTACACAATGTTTAAATCTTCATCAACACAAACCTGATGAAGCATGCTACATCAGTATCTCAGCAGGCAAGTAGCAGGTTAACATGAATTGCAAAGTCTTATACAAGAGAACAAAATTACTTTGAATATGTGCCAGTAAAAATGCTGTTCTTCTTGCAGCTAAAAAGAACTGGGTGTTAAAAAGCTTTGAGATTGTCAAATAAATGTGCTTTTAAATAACAGGTAATACTGTAAATGTGCCAGGAAATGCTTATGCAGAATGCTATTATTTTGTACTAAGTACATATTTTTGAAAAGCCAGGCACATGGGGTATGCTATATCAAGGAAAGGTCCTGAGCTAGAGCATTGCTGTAGACACATTTAGATCCTAATGCAGGCCATACATGGGTCGAATTTCGTATGAATTTTCTTTAGAAAATCAGAAATGTTGTGCGTTTTGTAATCTGATGGCACCACCATTGATTTGTGAAATTCAACCAACCAAGCCTTCAATTTCACCTCATGCTTCTACAGAAATGACTTTTCGTGGCCAAGAATTTTCTTTTCTTTCCAGGTCACAGCTCATGCTCATTTCATTTTCTATTACATCTCTCACACGATCTTCCCATCATTAATTAGAAATTTGTTTGTTTTTCAAAAAAATTTCCAACATGCTTGAATTCATTCAAATTTGATGGTTGCATGAAAATTGGCAGTTGCTGTGGCCCACTAATGGTGCAAGATGTGAATGAAAATTCTTGGAAAAGATTTTCAAAAGAAAATTCTTGGAAAAGATTTTCAAAAGAAAATTCTTTTGGAATTCAACCCATGTAGCTGTGCAGTGGAATAACGTCCTTACCGGATGTCTCCAACTTACAAGCCAACCTCAATGCACTGCTTAATTGGGCAACTATGTGCCAAATGAGGTTTAATGTTGATAAATGGAAGTTTCTGCACTTGTGGGCTAAGAATATGCATGCATCATACATACTAGGGAGGTACAACTGGGGGAATCAATGGTGGAGAAGGATCTGGGGGTTCTGGTAGATCACAAGCTTAATAATGGCATGCAATGCCAAGCTGTGGTTTCTAAAGCGAGCAAAATCCTCTCTTGTATTAAAAGAGGTATAGACTCCAGAGAGAGAGATATCATATTACCCCTGTACAAATCATTAGTAATACCTCATCTGGAATATGCAGTTCAATTTTGGGCACCAATTCACAAAAAGAACATTGGGGAACTGGAGGCATGGAGGAGCTCAGCTATGAGGAAAGATTAGAGGAACTGAATGTATTTTCTCTTGAGAAGAGGAGATTAAGGGGGGATATGATCAACATGTATAAATACATCAGTGGTTCATATAGTGAACTCGGTGTAGAGCTATTCACCCTGAGGTCATCACAGAGAATAAGGGGGCACTCTTTACGTCTGGAGGAAAAGAAATGTCATCTCCAAACATGGAAAGGTTTCTTCACAGTGAGAGCTGTGAAAATGTGGAATAGACTCCCTCAAGAGCTGGCTCTGGCCAGATCAGTGGATTGCTTTAAAAAAAGACCTGGATTCTTTCTTGGATACACAGAATATAACTGGTTACTATTTATAGGTAAAGTTGATCCAGGGAAAATCTGATTGCCTCTCGGAGGATCAGGAAAAAAAATTTCCCCTGCAGCAGCAAATCGGATCATGCTTTGCTGGTTTTTTTGCCTTCCTCTGGATCAACTGTGGGTATAGGATTATAACTTTTTTTTTATGGTTGAACTGGATGGACTTTTGTCTTTTTTCAGCCAGACTAACTATGTAACTATGTATGGTCGGCTTTAACCCTAGGCTCACACCTAAACGTTTTCTGCAGCATTTTGCAGAAACGTACTAAAGTCCATTTAACATGATTTTCTATGGGACAGGTTCACATATCCATGTTTTCACCCATGCGTTTTTTGGAAAGGATCAGACTTTTAAAAATACAAAAAGTTGATTTTTTTGGTTCTATAGACTTCAGTGGAGATGCTGCAGAAAAGTATGTAGTGTGTTTTTTATGCATTTTTGACATGTTTAATGCATTTTAATCTGACAATCAACAAGAAAAAATGCAAAGTGCATAAAAAACGTGTCAAAATGCATGTGGAAAAATGAAAAACGCACAACAAAAAGCACTGCAGAAACGGATCAAACGAAACTGCATAGGTGTGAACCTAGCCTTAGGGCTGATTTACTAAAACTGGAAAACTGCAAAACCTGGTGCAGCTGTGGATGGTAGCCAATCAGCTTCTAACTTCAGCTTGTTCAATTAAGCTTTGACAGAAAACCTGGAAACTGATTGGTTTCTATGCAGAGCTGCAGCTGATTTTGCACTCTCCAGTTTTAGTAAACCATCCCCTTAGAGCCATCTTGATAGTTTCTTCATATGATGGGGGTATTTTCATTTTGCTTGCATTTTGTTTCATCTACTGTGTTAT